ACAGATCAGAGCTGGAAACACAGGGAATCCAGGACAGATAAACCACTCAGGACCAATAATAAGAGTAGTGATACCAGCAGGGGAAGGGGAAGGTGGGGTGAGAAATGGGGAACCAATCACAAGGATCTAAGTATAACCTCTTCTCAGGGGGACACACAACAGAAAAGTGGGTGAAGGGAGACAGCAGCCAGTGTAAGACATGAAAAATAATAATTTATCAATTATCAAGGGTTAATGAAGGATAGAGAATGTGGGCAATTGAGCTCATACCAAGGGTTCAAGTAGAAAGAAAATGTTTTGGAAATGATGATGGCAACATATGTACAGAGTGCTTGACACAATAGATGGATGGATGGATTGTGATAAGAGCTGTAAGAGCCCCAATAAAATTATTTTTTTTAAACTACAAGCTTTTTAAGTTTTTACTTTTTGGTAAAGGGCAATGTGGTCTTAATCTAGTTCCTAAAAGGGGAAAATACATCTAACCATAAACATCAATAGCAAGAGCCCAAGTACCCTGAGCTGGGAGTACAGGAAGGCACTCAAGAGAGCCTCCGCGAGCGTTCCTCACGGCCGCACTCCACCCCAGGGTAAGGTTAACGAAGAAACATAACTGTTTTACAGAAGAATAGTTATCAAAAAGAAGCTGAGGGATATGTACTAAATAACAACATTCCATGACAGCCCAACTTATTGTCAGGTGAATTCTGAAACTATGATAGCTTCGAAGAAACCCTTAAATACAACAGGTGCACGTAAAGACACATGAGGCTCCTACACAGGAAGGGGGCCTATACCACATACAAGAGCAGATACATAACGAAACCACGGCTCCGAGATCTTTATACAAATAGACTCATAGGTACAGTGTGCTAACTTTAAAAGAAGAACTGCTGTGATGAGAAATTACTTTTAGATTTAGGATTTTTCAGAATAGTAGTCACAGACTGACAATTGAGAGGGGGGAATTAGTAATCACCCTGGTCAATTACCTGATGTCAAGTATATATAAAATATGGATTGGGTAAAGTTTTTCAGTCCAAAGTTAATAATGCCATATCAGCTGTGCTAGATAGCTGTAAACTTCTTTAATCAGAAAGAACACCACACTAAATCATATTTCTTCTTATAAAAATCCAAAATGTATCTCTGACCAGTGCAATAAAAATGTGTTTGTAACATTACAGCTCCCTTCTTGAATTCAAATATTAGAAACACAGTCTGCAGACCGGCCAACTTTCACTTGATTTTCACATATGAAGTTTACCTAAATAATGAACTTAGACTTAATTTTTTACATGTTTATTCTGTCAACTAAATGTTTAGAGAGACTTTCTTTTAAATTACAAAAGGTATGCACGTGCTTTGGTCAGGGAGTTCTATGGCTCATAAAAGAATACCCACAACAAAACAAAAACACCCCGAGATGTTGGCTTTAATTTGAGATGGTCATTTGAGTCAGGCAGTTCTAGAGATCAGATTAAAATAAATTCAGAACAAGTCATTGGATGTTCTTCCCAATAAACAACCTACACGAAAGTTCTGTGCATTTTCCCAGTCACACAGGGAGGACATACGCAAGTGTCTTGTTAGGCCTCATCGCATCTAGAATGAGCAGAACATTGTACTCCACCTTGTCAAAGTTACTAATTCAAAACAAGAGAAACAGGACCTATTAGGACTAATCTAATAGCCATTATATAAGGGATATAAGCTCTTTATCATAATTAATTCTTAACTAAATGTTAAGACTCTTCTTGTAGGAATGAAGCTGCCTGAAATGCTCTAACCAACTTTAATTGCTTAGGAGGACATTTTTAGTACACATCTAGATGGGAAGGTAGATATGAGTGTCCCATTTATGAAAATAGCTATGGCTTTTGAGGAGACAAATAGTTCAAAATATACACGAAGAGCTATGGAAGCTGATACGATTAAGAATAAAATAATGGACAAAGAATTAGGTGAAGGGCAATTCCACTGTTGGAACTGATGAACCAGATCATTAATTCTCTTGTCATAAAATAATTGCTGTTCTCTCAGAATTATTCATTATATTGCAAATATATAATTTTAAGAGCTATAGTACGTCATTTTTATAGTAGTATGATCACTTAATTCAATTAGATATCATTCTGTTCATCTTTGTTATTGTTAATGATATAGAAGGTGGCCTAGGAATAGGAAAGCTTCTATTACTGGTATTATAATTTTACGCAGAAACAAAACAAAGCAAAAACCACACATGCTGCTATGCCAATTCAATCCCAACTCCCAGTGACCCTATCTATGGGCAGCACTGTCCCAGAAACCACTGTCCCCGTGGTTGTACATCTTCGCACACTCAGGCTGCCACACTCTCCCCCACCGACGGAATGGTGCATTCAAGCAATCCACCTGTTGGGAAGCAGCTGAGTCCTTAGCCACGGGGCCATGCCTCAAAGGCAACCGCATATTATACAATTACCACCTTATGGATGCCCTCCAAACTTTTGATAACTTCCAGTGCGATTTTTAAATAAGAGGTTGATTTCGAAGGGAGAGGACAATGAAGGGAGGTGGTAGCATTTTCAGCTGTGCTTTTCTTTGCTTCGTGCACTTTACCTGATTCTTGAGATCCAGTTTGGGACATGGGCGACCCCCATTGTAAGGTTTTTCTTGTAACCACTTGGATCGAATTCTCACTCCAACGCCGCAAGATGAGCTGCAAGACCCCCAGCTGGACCAGTCACTTAACTTGCAATCAAATGGGCAGGGAATAACACACTGTTCTTGAATATAACCTAAAAGCAAAAAGAATTGAAGGAAGTGAGGAAAGCCTGATTAATATGGATTAATCAAGTTCACTTGTTGTTTCTGTTATCCCAGTTCAGATTTCTCATGAGTTTTTGCTGCAGCAACTTTAATTTCTGCTCAGATAGACTAGAGTTCTAAAAGATAGATAAACATGACAGCATCTACCTTATGAATGTATGTCATTTTGTTTATTTTCATAGATCATTCTAGAATGGAAGAAATAGGGGAAAGTGCAGTCTTTGCTTCTCATAAGGAATGTGAGATAGTTAAAGTTTATTGTGCCAATCTGGCTGATAAGCACATGTGGGGTTAATTGAAGGGCGGAGAGATAATGGCTCAGTGAGCAGGTCCTTTCTAGTTGTCAGGTTTCTTGCTTTGTGATGGTCGGACTAAGGTGCAGCTGCCTTAGCCAGTTCCCTGTTCAGCAAGGTTCACTTCCTGCAAGACATCCCCAAGGAGAAGCCACGTGGACCTACCCCAACGCAGCCCTGGGTGCTGGAGCAACCGTGTGGAGACCCCTGCCAGCGCTGAGATGCTTACACGGTCACTGATTCAGCTTTCTTCCTGCAGTCGGCGTCACAGTGTGTGCTTTGTGAGATGGAGGAGGACTTTGTGGATTGGTGTCAGACCTATGGGCTAATGTTGGACTTGTGGGCTTGGGCAGCACTGGGTTTGGGATGTTTTCTTGATGTGCACTTACCCTTTGTATAAAACTCTCTCTTATACATATGATTTTCTGTGGATTTGTTTCTCTAACGTACCCAGACTAACACAGAATGATACAGTTCTAAGCTAAAGATAATTATCACTCTCCTCACTGACCCTGGTGCCTCCATTATGCATGTCCACATACAGGAGCAAAATGAAAATTATGTTTCTTAAGTATCAAAGACTTCACTGAGGAAGATTCAGATTCTCCCACGCACAGAGTCGCTCTTGGGGCTGCAGAGGGGGAAGCAGGTGAAGTCTTGATGATTAGAAACGGCAAGTTGTTATTGAATAGAGAATAAAGGAATCGTAAAAAGTTGAATAATGGGGTATTGTTCAGATAATTGAAGAATTGGGTCAGAAGTACAGTCTCAGTCTTTCTGGCTTTACCTGGTTTTGGTTTTTTTCAACAGTACACTTCTTGCTGCATATGTCCTCTAGATTTTGTCCTACTTTTAAATATCACCTCTATCGATGGTTATCATTTCAACGCTTACCTCTCTATTCTTTCGCTTTTAGTTGTTGCTAAATTGGTTCAATGGAGCCCTGGTGGCACAGTGGTTAGGCATGGGGCTCTGGTCTGCATGGCTGGCAGTCCCAAACCACCAGCAGCTCCTCGACCGAACGTTACCGTCTCGGAAACCCACAGGGGTTATTTAGGAGTCAGCATTGACTCATTGGCAGTGAGTGAGAAGTTGGTTCTAATGCACAGTAATCCTATATACAACGTAAGAAAATACTGTCTGGTTCTGTGCCATACTTGAGCCCCTGTTGCAGGCATGGCTGTCCACCTCTTTCCTTGAGGGTCTTCCTCTTTTCCCTGACCCTCTGCCTTTCCCAACATGAGGGACTGGTGCCTTCTGAGAACATGTTAAAAATGTAAACAAGCGGCCATCTAGCCCAGAAGCAACAAAGCCCACACGGAAGCAGCACACTAACGTGTGATCATGAAGGGCCGAAGGGACCAGGCTTCAAATACCAAAGGCGGGGTGGGGAATCATATCCTCGTCAACGAGGGTGGCGCGTGATGGGGACCCAATGCCCATCTCTAGACAACTAGACATACCTTGCAGAGGGGTAGTGGGGAGATGAGTCACTTAGGGTTCAATATAGCAATAATGAAACCCACAGCCTTCCTTTAGTTCTTAAACACTTCCTCCCTCCAACTACCAGGACCCCAATTCTGCCTTGCAGACCTGGTTAGACCAGAGGATGCACAGCAGTACAGATGGGAATTGGAAACGCAGGGAATCTAGGACAGATGAACCCCTCAGGACCAGGGGTGACAGTAGCGATACCAGGAGGGAAGTGGGGTGTAGAAAGGGGGAATTGATCACAGGGAGCTACATATAACCTCCTCTCTGGGGGATGGGCAGCAGAGGGGTGGGTGAAGGGAGACGCCGGGCAGTGTAAGATAAGATATAGTAATAATTTATAAATTATTAAGGGTCCACGAGGGAGCGGGGGAGTGGGGAGGGAGGGTGAGGGGGAAAAAGGAAAATGAGCTGATTCCGGGAACCCAAGAAGAAAGCGAATTTTGGGAATGATGAGGGCAACAAATGTATAGGTGTGCTTTACACAATTTATCTATGTATCGTGATGAATTGTATGAGCCCCATAAAATGATTAAATAAAAAAAAAGAGAGAAATGTTTCCAAGAATGGACTTGAAAATTTGACAAATGTATTAAGTGTAATGGAGAGTACTTTGAAAGTGATAAGGTTGCTTTGTTAAAAAAAGAAATTTAAATATATCACTTTGAAAAAAAAATATGTGAGTTGAAGTCTCGATATCATTACATTTAAGGAGAATGTTGATTGTACCTGTTCATTTTTCTGTCAGTCCATGGTGTATGTATATCTCTCACCAACCCATAATTGAAACGCATCGATTTGTCAGCTTCCTTCGCCTTGATCTACCTTGCACATGTACTGTGCACATGCGGTGACTGCAGGGACCCGGCGCCCCTCAATCCTCAAAGTGACACCCTTGCTTTAGTGTCTTTAAGAGGCTTAAAATGTAGTTCAATAAGATGCTGCTGCTTATTGCTCTCTTTGTCAGGAACTCCAATGGAAATGTATCAGGGACCAATCAAACATGCAATACTAATTAAGACATGCATAGCAGAACGACCTGTGACAGGCCTGGCTAAGAGCTACTGTCAGACTTCAACCTATAGTAATTCTGTCCCCAAAACTGTATCGTGCCTATAAAGGAAAGCTGTGAATAACAACATCATGGGACACAAAAAGACCATTTCTGCATTGCCTTCAACCAAGAAATAGGAGGCAAGTTTATGCAAGATTTTTTAAAAAGATATGCCAAAATGAAATTCGGTAAGAGAAGATATCTCCTTTAGGACACGAAGGGGTACTATATTGGGCACAACAGCACAATACTTATGTTGCTTATGAGCTCTGTGAACATTTGCTTGAATTCTGACCTCAGAGTGAGTTGAGCAATGGGCCTACGATCACAGGCAGATGTTTAGTTTTTCTAATATAGGTGGCAGAGTCTTGGGTTGGGAAATGAAAGGATTAGAAAGCAAAAAATCGAAATGAACTAAACCAAAAACCAGGATGGACTAAGAACAGAATGACTGAGATCAATGGGTGGCTAACTGGCTTTATTTTTGCTATGGTTTACACCGGCCCTCAACATGCATGATAATGAGACATCAGGAAGATACACCCAGAACTGATTTGTGAAATACTACCACACCCCGGCCTCCAGCATACTCCCTGGAGTAAGGGAAAACTTAACTGTTGGATGGAATCCCCAGCACTCTTCCAGAATAGAATTCTAGCTGGCCCAAAGAGTCCTCCTTTTATAGGCTTTGAGGAAACAGACCACCCATGTATCAGTATCGTATTAGTATTGCTTGTTCGGAGCAAATTCCGCTCCAGGAGCTGCATTATTAAATGCAAGGGGTGTGTGTTTCCCATCCATTGCCCAATTATTTCTGCTGTAGCAGCCCAGCCCAAATGCTCAGTGGTAGCTGGGGTCAATTTAAGGTTCCATCTGACATCAGGGTGGCAGAACTGGAGTAGCAGCTGTCACCGGGCCGGGGGCATGTCACCTCTGGTGTTGAAGCTCATAACAGTTCCTACAGCCACCTGGCTCATCCACATCTCTGGTGCTACCACACCAGGAAAGGTTTCCTGAACCCTTCTTGCTGTCTGAATTTCATCCTGCTGCCACGGGCTCTCTTCATCGTGGGGTGCCTCCACTCTTCTCCCTACCGAGCCCCTGTTGCTTCTGTTTCTGCACCTCTTGGCTGTACAGCTCTTCCATCCAACACAGTTCTTCTTGGTGCCTCGTCAACTCCTGGCTCATTAGCATGACCTGGTGCTTCTGACAAGCAACGTCCGTCTCTTTGATGTTGGGGTTCACCTTGTCTGCTGCTTCTCCGTCTTCATGAATGCCGTCTAACACACACTCATACTCAAAGGACTCGGGCTGGGCAAGTCTTGGGGGCTGCTCATGTTCCCTGTAAAATGGCTGATTCTTGATAATCAGCTTCTTTGGAAGTCCTTCTTTGTCATCCAACTGGTCCACAGGCTCCACAGTCCTCGATCGAGGGAATGTGGTCAAGAGCCTTGACTGCATCTGTCAAGAGCTTTTCAAGCAGCTGGCTTCCCTAAGAGTTCAACAGTGCTGTCTTGGAAAGGCCTCCCTCCATCACTCACAATGACTACAGCACTCCCTACTTGATCAAACACAGAAAAAGTCTCAGCCAGGGTTCATTGGACATGTGCTGAGGGGCATTCAGATTTTAAGGCGCGTACACTGGTAGGCAATATGCCCGCGCAGCTGCTTTCCATGGAATGGCATATTGTCCAGCTCCACTTGGGCAAACTTCGCTAGAACTCATGTTTCCAAGTGGATAAGCCATTTGGAATGCTTGCTGGCTTTCTCATATTTCTCCAATGTTTCTGTGTGTCTCCCTCAGTGATGTCAGGAGTCATACTGCTCACAGAGAAAGCTACACTGGGGGAAGGTCTTCTCTCTTGAAGTCCTAACATTATCCAGGCCCACAGTCAAGTCTTCATTTTGACTGCAGGCTTTTGTC